GTGGTTTGTAAGTCAAAATGTTCTTAACTCAAGTTGTTCTTAAGTCAAGTCCCCACTGTATGTCTTCAGCCTTCCTTCAATGGCTAAGTCTGTAAGAACTGTATGAATTGTGGAATGAGTAATGTATTTATCTGGAAGTTTGAGCAAGGCCTCAATGGTGGCCAGATACAGAGGAGAAGTGTCCTTTCAGAATGGGGCTTTTTTGTTTTAACAAAAAAAGGAAAACACAAAAGCTCTTTTTCTTTTAATATTCTTTTATTGATGCACAACAGAAAGCATCTTAAACATGATCAATTCTTTTTAATGCATCTGGAGAACAAGAAAGTTTTGTGTTCTTCCACATTTTCCTCTTTCATGGAACCTTTCTTTCATACTTTTTCTTTCAAATCACTTAGGAAATTTTTAATCCAATAGCATTTCAAAGAAAACTGTTGGCAACAATTCAGAGGAGAGCAGAAATTTTGTTCCTGTAAAAGAAACTGCATTGTTTGGAACCTAGCAGGAACTGTTTTCCTTTGTTTCTCTCAGTCCTTGAAGGTATGTGAGGTTCTTTGCCTCCTTATTCTTGGATCTTTTCTTTCCCCCTCAATTTTGTGAGGGTATTTCCCCTCCATTTCTATAGATTATTTTTGAAGACTTTGAAGGAAAAAATGAAGGAATAGCAAGGTGGTTGGGAAGAAAGGTGTGAATATTTACCGGATTCAAAGAATTTGTGAGGGTATTTCCCCTCCATTTCTATGGATTATTTTTGCTTTACCGGATTCAAAGAAGAATGAGTGGGTGAGTGAGTGAGTGAGCCAGTCAGTCAGTCAGTCAATCTATCACATTTCTACAGTGCTCATCTAGAGGATAATATACAGCATACTATAAAGACTAAAATTAAAGTTGGTCAAATGAGTGCAGATGTAAAAGCTTAGAAATGGAGCATTTAACAGTGACAAAAAAAACTCTTGTTTTGAGCAGAGGTCTAATCATGAACAGAATGGATCGGGCAATACCTAATATTGTAGGAGATCTTAGGACATATCAATATACATACCAAGCAAAACCCAATGGAAAAATGAATAAATAAAGGCAAGAAACCTTGGCACTTTAAAGACTTGTTATATTTCAATGTGAGCTTTCATGGACAAGTCCACTTCTTTAGACATATGGAGTGAAATACAAATATTAAATATCAGGAAATACTTCCTAACTGTTAAAGCAGTAAGACAGTGGAACCAGTGACCTCGGGAGGTGGTGAGTGCTCCCGCACTGGAGGCATTCAAGAGAAACCTCAACAGTGAGTGCTCCCACACGGGAGGCATTCAAGAGAAACCTCAACAACCACCTGGCAGATATCCTTTGATTCCTGCATCAAGCAGGATTTGATGCCCTTATAGGTCCCTTCCAACTTCAGTGTTCTTTGATCTCTGGAGTTTCTGAAGAAGCAGACGTGACTATGAAAGCTCATATTAAAATACAGTATAACAGTCTTTGAGGTGCTATGGGTTTTGGTTTTTTTTTATTTTATATATACAGGATATAAAAATGAAACAGACCAAAACCCAAAGATAGTTATATAAACTAAGCATATCTGATATGCTTGCACAGACTAACACCACTACCTCTTCTAAACCAACATATATGTGATAAAAACAAATAGAAAATTGAATTTTTGCCCAGATTAAATAAGAATTCATAAGCCACGTTGATTAGCTGAAATCTATTGATAGCTTAAAAAAATACATTTTCAGGTTTTGTTGTTGTTGTTTTTTAAAGAGGTTTCAGTGGACAGTAAACTTGATTCACAGCCTGATACATGTCCTGTTTTTTAATACAGTATATGCAAGATTAAATTACACACACTCAAAAAGCAATGCCATGCAAGTCTATTTAATTTCTTTTTCTAAAAAAATCCCATAACAACTAGCTGGGGAATAATCCTACGGTATCTGAGAGCAAGGAGAAAGGTCTGATCCTGCTCCCACCTAAAAGGGGCCTTAATGACAAAACTGAAAAAGGAAGATGGGTAATATCTCCATACCATATTAACTGGCCCTGTGGTGCAGTGGTTAAACTGAAGTACTGCAGTTAAGCCTCTGCTCATGTCCTGAGCTTGATCCTCATGGGTTCAGGTAGCCAAATCAAGGTTGACTCAGTCTTCCAGCCTTCCAAGGTCGGTAAAATAATGAGTGTCCAGCTCTCTTGGGGGTCAAAGTGTTCCTTGCGTAATTGTGATGTAAACCATCCAATGAGTGTTCTAGCACTATGATGAGGCATATAAGTCAAAACAACAACAACACATGAGCCTGAGAGGCAATGAAAGGTAACAAAGGATCTAACTGCTACTGATCATTATGTTATACTTTTGCAGACACTATACCAGCGCAGGCTGTTTCAGGTTACTGAACATTTGACAAAGGTTTCCTGTATGAATCTTATTATGTCACGAGGTTCATATATATACAGAAGTTTTTATGTGTATTTAAGATGACTTCCAATTTATGGTGACCGTACAAATGAGTAATTCCCAAAAGGTCTTATCATGTACAGTCTCATGTCCCAATAAGAATAAATGATTGCTTTGTGTTAGTCCATTTGTAATCCAAGGTGGTTTAATTTATGAGGAAATAAGAACTTTTTAAAAAAGTATGTGAAAAATGATGTTATGGCACAGCACAATTTCAGTGAATGGCTACTGCAGGAGCTTTCAAAGGCATATTCACATATCCAGAAGAATTATGGCATGTTTCCGCCTTGTACTGTGTGAAAACAAACAGAAAATTATTCTGCACACTAGAGGCACATGATATAAAGTTATTTTATCCCCGCTTCTGAAATACATGGAGAACCTTTGGTCAAACATGTCCCCCCTCCCCAAGAATGAGCAGAGAACTGTGGCTGTACTTAAATCTCTCACCTCCTGGCTGGATATACTGATTCTGTATCATGTGTTCTAATGTAATCTGGGAAATGAAAAATCATTTCGTAGTTTCTTCTTGCACTTTGGTTGGCTTAAATAGTTGGGTCTCTCCAATTTTTTTTGTAGAAGTCTTTAGATCTCATGTGGTTTTTTTTACTGTCATTTAAGCATACTACCTTAAAATTCTCTTCCGTATGAAGGTTTGATTCACAAATAGCTAGCTGTTATTCCTGGAGATTCAGAGGAAAGAATTTCGATGGAAGGAAACGGAGTGAATCAATACTGTTCACAGCAATCCTCTTCTGTTGGAAAGGCTCAGAAAATGGCCCACAGGCACACCTTCATCTTTTTTCATTACTGCATTTATATCCTTCTGTTCCTCTAATGAGCTGGAGGTGTTACTGTATACATGGTTTTCTTCACTTATCATCTTGCCTGCAACCATGTAAGGTAGATGAAGTTGGGAGTGTGTGATGTTGGCCTATCATTATCCAAGGCGTTCATGGTTCGGTGTGGACCAGAACTCGGGCCTCATGGGTGCCAGTGCAACAGCCTGACCCATAAACCAACCACACTGCTTCCACACAGGACGCAGTTGGGTGTCATTATACCTGAAGAAAAATCAGGAAAGTCTAAGGAAAGTGCTCTTCGTTCTGTGGAGGAAGAGGCTGGGGTAATACAAGCTGCAGCTGACTGGATGGCTCAGTAAGTTAGGAATCTGGCTGCAGAACCAGAGGTTGGGAGTTGGATTCCCTACTGTGCCCTTTAGGGGAAGATCCAGCTCAGGTGACCAGGAGCAAGCTGGATGTCCCAGGATGCCCCCAAAGGAGGGAATGGATGGAATGTGAGTCCTCTCTACCCGGAAAACCCTGAAAAGAATGGATGGCACACAGTTGTTGTTGTTGTTGTTGTTGTTGTTGTTGTTGTTGTTGTTGTTGTTGTTGTTGTTGTTGTTGTTGTTGTTGTTGTTGTTGTTGTTACAAGTTGCAGGTTTACTGTCAACCTCTGCTGCTGGCTCCATTAGCACATGTTTCAGAAAGGAAAAACTGAGGGCCAGTTCATATTACTAAATGTAAGTAAACCACCATGAGTTAAAAAGAGGAGTTGAGTAGATGTATGGCAGATGTGAGCACCGACAGTCCTCCGGATCTTTTTTGCCTACAAACCGTAGCCGGCGTTGCCAAATGAGAGGACTGTTGTGGGCTGCAGCTCAAAATCATCGGGAGGGCGACATCTGCCCCTGCGTGATCTATATGATGCTCATCAAACACTGTGTGATATAGAAGGTCCTGTGTGTGTGCCTGCAAAGAAATCTGAATCCAAGTTGTTTTAACAGCGTCACCATCATTTCTTTTAAAATGCTAATTGACACTTTTAGAAGACTCACTCTTCACATACTTGGACCATCTTTTTGTGCCCTTTCTTGATCTTTGATGAATGCTGACAGTCCAGCGCTTTAAAAACTATATAGTCTAATTAGACTTAAGAGTACAGCCCATTTAGCAAAAAATATTTACTTAGAAACAAAAGCAAGACATGAGTTTTTACATCAAGTTTTCAAATAAATTTAATGGAAATATCTTTTTTTACAGGAGAAATATATGCAAAGCATCACAAAATAGATATATGAAAAATTCTGCCAGAGCTGGGTTGGCTCACAAGAAAGAGATTTGTCTCACTTTTAGAAAAAAGCACCTGCAGCTACTGCTCACACTGAGTCATTCGTTGTACTCTTATCTGCCAGGGGTTGTGACACTGGAGCAATTAAGACAAACTTTAGTCTATAAATTCATGCCTGCAATCTCTATCCTTCACCTGAAGATTGATGATCCTTCCTAGGAAGGAAACAAAGTATTTTCCAGACTAGCTCTGAAGTAATGCTTAGGGTTTGTAATTGTTCAGCAGATTTTCTTTACTACAAGAGGCCTGTATCTCCAGTCTTTTATGGTCCTCTATATTTTTAGTGCCATACTACCTCAAATAGTCACCACAGTGTAAATACTTCTGTTTTGTTTGCTATCTAACATTCTCCCTTTGTCAGCAGATGTCTGAAGAATCTTCTTAGGAATAATGAACTGAGCTAAAGGATCTATAAGACATTTAAAATACATTTTATTACATACACCGACCAAGTGAAACAGCCTCAAACATACAAGAAAATCTGGAACATTAGGAGAGTTTACTGTTCTTCTATCTTCAAAATGGTTGTTACCTTGGAAGTCTAGAATTTGAAAAATGGAAATCAGAAGACAAAAAAAGTTAGGAAATAATGTTGTGCAAGTGTCCATGTATACTTGGTCCTTACCTTAGGGCCAGGTAAGGAGTTGCTTTTTCAGTCAAGGGCTGCATTCCTTTTAGACTGGCCTGCTAACAGTCCATGGGGCCTTTGCTCTCTCTTTGTGTCCTGCCCCCTTTCCCCTCATCCTTCTCCTTCTTCCTACGGGAGGACAGACTGCATTTGCCCACAATCTGAACCGTTCACTCACAAAGGGCAGGGAATCGATGGGTCCTCCATGCAAATGGAACAAATATACTCATTCAGCTATGGGCCTTAGGCTTGGTTTGCCAGAGAAACTCCTATGTAGATGCTGGTCAAAAATAAACAGAAAAACTGAAGCAGCCTCCATTATGTTAAAAAGGGCACTGAAATTCTTTGAATATTTGATTCATTTCCTCCGACTACTTTTATTATGGGTGCACTCATCATAATGAGCATAAAGTCATACATGTGCTAATATCATGTGACTGATGCTTGTTACACTTTTTATTCTTTCAGGGATCCTGGAAGAATAAAAACTTCCTCTGGGTAGTCAATGCTCACTTCACTGTGGTATTTAAAAATTAAAAACCAAAACAGATATATTACTGACTCCAGAGGACTGTTAAAATGCATGCTCATCGTACCCATGTATGTTTTTCTGTGCTAGGACTGAATAAAAGCTGTATAAAATACTTTGAAGCAAAACCAAAACCAAAACCAAAACACAGTTTAATAAAATACATAATAATATTGTCTTAAAGATGACTGGTACGTCCTTAAGGTGGACAGTGATAAAATGGATGATAATCTTTCTGTGTGAAAGAGAGTGTGAGGAAGAAATAGATTTGTCTTTGACAAATAAAAAAATTACCATACATAGTCAAATATCTCCATCAGATGAAATGTAGTTGAAAAAAGTCTCCCATGAAAATGTTAAAGAGTCCGAGGTGGCCATTGGTGAGCATCCGTCTCTCTGGCTTGGACACACAGCATCTCTTCTGCTCATTGGGATCCCTGTTGCTGTTGTTGCTGTTGTGAACGCCTCTCCTCCAGCATCCGACACACCCACATGGAGACAACCTCAGCATTCCCATCATCATACTGGATGATGAAGAGGTGGCCCTGAGGAAGCAAAGACAGACTCAGCCAAGAGACTCAGGCATCTTATGAATGTATTCATCATGTGTGTGTTTCTTATTCTTGCCCCTCACAGGCCCTCTGCGATGCCAAGGCACCGTTTCCCCACAGAAACCTTGGTCCTGACTGATGGATTGGCACTCAGCTTTGAGTGCCTTCTCCTAGAGAACTCTTAGTTACAAACAGATACAGATTTATTTTTATGACTTTTTTTTTAAAGGGGCCAACTTGAGAAAATCACAATACATAAAAGAATGTACAGAATTCTAGTCCAGGTGAAGGGTAGAAGGCAAACATGTTTTCCGTGTAACCATTTTCACCCCAGAAATTCCCAGATTGAGCCTCTAGCTCCCCAATACTGATTTTGACATATTTTGCACCTTATCTCCATTATGATAATGACATGGGACTGGTGGTTATTTAGAGACTCCCTCATCAAGGAAGTAGAAACTGGAAGCCGTGGAAAACACTGGGATACATGGCTAGGGTAAATTCTGTGTCCTCTTTCCTAGAGGTCCCAACTTCACAGATAGTGAAGAATGCATCAGGAACTGTTTTAAGGGTTTTCACCATTTCCACCTTGCTTTAAAAAAATTAAATATCAGTCGTCTACTCTTGCATTACGGGTAATGATTCCTAGGGCAAGAGATGCAGTTACTAGGTAGGCATGGATTTTGGACCACTCCCTTGTCAGCATTCTCTCATTTCTCAATTGCAAGTTAGACCATGAGACACCATTTTCTTCAAGGCTATTAACTGAGTCAGAATTTGAACCTGGAATTCCCTTGGCCAACCCCCACAAACTTCCTGTTGCAGCATACGTGTGTCTTTCAAGTCCAGGAGTTCAAGGAACAACAAAGCAAAATTGTATCCTGGTTGCAACCGCAGCCTTATCTAAGGTAGGTGTTGGACCCTAATTTCTTTCATTCCGCAATAGCTGGTTGAACCAGTTCAGCAGGTACTGTTTGGAGCAAGGTAACCTCCAAAGACTTCAAAGAAAAAAATGAAGGAATAGCAAGGAACTGATATAGGTGGTTGGGAAGAAAGGTGTGAATATCAAGAGCACTGGATAGAGGTAGCGAAGAGGTGGGAGATGTAAATCAAATTGGCAAGATAGAGGCTTGCCAGAATACTTTTTCACATGAGGAGAATATTGCTTGTGCCAGACATATTTAACATGCTATTGAATTTCTAATCACTATGTACAGGTGTGAAAGCTGGATCGGAAAAATGGCTGACAGGGAAAAAATTTGTTTGAAATGTGTGCTGGAGGAGAGCTTTGCGGATACCCTGGACTGCAAAAAGACAAACAAGTGCTTCTTAGATCAAATCAAGCATGAACTATCTCTGGAAGCAAAAATGATGAAACTGAGGTCGTCCCACTTTGGGGGATACCGTGAGAAGACAGGATTGTCTGAAAAAGACAATAATGCTGGGAAAGGCTGAAGGCTACAAGAAAAGAGGAAGACCAAATACGAGACGGATTGACTTCCGATAGGAAGCCACAAGCTTAAGTTTGCAAGAGCTGAGCACTGAGTTGAGGACAGGCCATTCTGGAAATTGCTCATTCATGGAGTTGCCATAAGTCAAGAGCAACTTGACGGCACATAAAAACAACAACTTATGAAAGCAACAGCTACATGTCGAATCAATTCTGACTTGATCCGCCTCTTTCCAGGGCTTTTCTAAGAACAGAAGTAGTTTTTCATTCCTATCTTCTGGGGTGTTCTAGGATTGTGCAGCTTGCCCAAGGCTACACAGTCTAGCTCCCCTCCCCCCCCCCGAAACACAGTGGGGAATCATATTCCTGAGTTGTTGCTCTGCAGCTTGGTAAACCCAGAGTTATCCAGCCAGCTTATTCCTAAATAACCAAGTTCTCCATAAATTGGATTGTTGACATGTACTGTCATTTCTGAACAGGGGATGGGTCATTTATTTATTTATTCTATTTATATCCCACCTATCTGGTCCTGCAACCACTCTAGGGGGCTTACAACACATGAGATACATGTTGTGATAGACTTGCATGGAGTGGGGTTTGGATCATCTCAGAACTTGCAGTTACATTAAACTTTGTGTGTGTGTGTGTGTGGTGTGTGTGTGTGTGTGTGTGTGTGTGTGTGTGTGTGTGTGTGTAAAAACAGCAATAATTGTGACAACATGTGAATTTAAAAAACAGTTTGTGTTTCCATACTGCAAAATATTACAATAAATATGGTTGTGGTATGTAAATTAACTGACATGAGATGCATATGGATATCAACCTGTGGAGAGGGGAGAATGGGTAGGCAGCACTAAACTCCATAGGAGTTATCAGGGTTTATGGGTCTGATAGTCTTTTTCCATTAAGTTCTGCTCCAGAAGCCTCAAGACTCATAATTCTTTGCAGCTCCCATGGAACTTAACTCCGTTCACCTGTTTCCTTGTCTTCTCCACATAAAGAAAATAGCTGCAACAGTTTGAATTTAGTAGCTGTAAGTACTTGAAAACATCTGTCAGGATGTCTTAATCAAAGTATCCAGAAGTCTGACTAAGGGAATGCTTGCACCCTTCCGGGGGCTGTAGTCCAAAAATTCCAAGCCTACTAATACCAACAGGGTAAAAGAGAAGCCTGAGTTAAAAAACAGTTATAAACCTTAGGTATAAACAACAGTGAAAGTTGAACTGGTGGTAGCAGCTAACCTGTAAACAATGTGAATGCAATTCGGTTTGCCATTGTGTAGGGTCAGAGAATGCTAGAGAAGCTGGCAACACATATACAGTGGTGCCTCACACAACGATGTTAATTGGTTCCAAAAAAATCAACGTTGTGTGAAACATCGTTGTGTGAAACACCATTTCTCATAGGAATGCATTGAAAACCGGTTAATCCGTTCCAATTGGAACGGATTGCCATCGTTCAGTGAAAATCCCCATAGGAAACATCGTTGAGTGAAACAATGTTTCCTATATTGGAATGTATTGAAGCCGACTCAATACATTTCAATGCCTTTGCGAAGTCCTTTTTCGCTCCTGTAAAAGTGTCTTACAATGTTTGGACGCTGTTTTAAATGATTGCAATGGTTAGTCCACCTCCTGAAACCTATGCAAACTGATTTTGGTGTTGTTCTGACACTTTGTTAATTTATGATGATTTTTTGTTTTTTCCATTGGAAACCATTAGACAGACCATCCAATGGTTTCCAATGGAGAAAAAACAAAAAATCATCATAAATTAACGAAGTGTCAGAACAACACCAAAATCAGTTTGCATAGGTTTCAGGAGGTGGACTAACCATTGAAATCATTTAAAACAGCGTCCAAACATTGTAAGACACTTTTACAGGAGCGAAAAGGGAGATCGTTGTGTGAAAATCCCCCATAGGAAACATCGCTGTGTGAGGCAGCAAATTTAACAGAAAAAGGCATCGTTGTGTGAATTCATCGTTGTGTGAGGCACTCGTTGTGCGAGGCACCACTGTAACTTATTATGGATCAAACTACAGAATACCTACCTTGTTTCAAGGTAAAGGTTCCCCTTAACAATTAAGCCCAATCATGTCTGACTCCAGGGGCCGGAGCTCATCCCCATTTGTAAGCTGAAGACCTAGCGTTTGCCCATAGACACTTTCCATAGTCATGAGGCTCGCATGACTAGACACAGAATGCCATTCACACGAAGGTGGTACCTATTCATCTTCTCATATTTGCATGCTTTCAAACTGCTAGGTTGTCAGAAGCTGGGACAAAGTGACGTGAGCCCACCCCCTTACAGGGATTTGAACTGCCAATCTTTTGATCAACAAGCCTAGCGGTTCAGAGGTTTAACCCGCCTGTGTCGCCTTGTTTCTACCTCCTCCCAAAAGCAGTAGCATGCTCTGTATAGTGTAAAGAGAACAAAGCAGGTAATGGGGAAGTTGCTGCTCAACGTAGAAAAAGAGGTGGTAGAGGAACTTTTAGCTGCTTTAAATGAATTCATGTGAACGAACTGTATTAAAGGGCGCTAAAAGAACTTGAAGATGTGAACTCAGTGCCTCTTTGAGAATTCTTGGAAAACACAAAAAGACCAACAGTGTACAAATGTTGTCTCCATCTTAAAAAATCGAGTTTTTTTTAAGAACAGATCCTTAAAGAATCCATCTGTAGGTGCTTGGAGAAGAACATAGTGTTTGCTGAGAGGCAGCATGGGTTTCTCAAGCTTATCTCATTTTTTTCTTTTTGAGAGAGTTACACGTTGTCTCTTGATATTCTTCTGAACAAACTTGTAAAATGTGGACTAGAAAATGACACAGGTAGATTTGTAGCTGGCTGATGGGCTGTATCCAAGGTGTACTCACCAATAGTTTCTTGTCAGTCTGAATAGAAGTGACAAATGGGATACCATAGATTTGTTTTCTGGTTCCAGTGTTGTTCAACACCTTTATAAATGGCTTGAAGAAATGATCAAATCTGCAGATAACAATGAACTTGGGAGGAGCACTGCTCCCATGCAGTTATGTAGATTCCTTTCCTTTTTCCACTTTGCACTCATGATGATACAGCTCACTTTTCTTCCCATGGGTTTTGCTCCCAGAATTTAAAATACTGCCTTGAGTTTTAGCTCTGGCGTTGGGACCTCTCCACTGTACGCGGCCCCAAATGCCCCGGCCAACAATGTTGGGAAAACTTTCCTCCTCCACTATCTGTTCTTCTCTAGTTCCTGCTAAAAGCTCTAGCTTCTGATGATAACAATTAGAAAACACAAACAATGCGAGGTTTTGCCTAATTTTCTAATTGCCTCATTTGATACTTCTGAGTGCCAGAATTTGCCTCCATCGTAGCTCTCTATTCCCTGATCTGGCCAATTCCCTTGCTTTGTCTTTCAGGGACCAAGTTTTTTAAACAGTAATTACTCTTACTAACTTTGCAGAATGCCACAAGGTTAATGTAAGTGTTTGTAAAACTCTCTGAGAAGTCTGGAAGAAAAGGGGGGGGGAAGTCTGTACTTGCTTAGCCTTTTGAATAAG